CTTACCTGGCAGTAGACCCATCTCCAACACTACATTAATCCTAACTTACCTGGCAGTAGACCCATCTCCAACACTACATTAATCCTAACTTACCTGGCAGTAGACCCATCTCCAACACTACATTAATCCTAACTTACCTGGCAGTAGACCCATCTCCAACACTACATTAATCCTAACTTACCTGGCAGTAGACCCATCTCCAACACGGTACATTAATCCTAATTACCTGGCAGTAGACCCATCTCCAACAGTACATTAAATCTAAATTACCTGGCAGTAGACTCATCACCAACACTACATTAAATCTAAATTACCTGGCAGTAGACCCATCACCAACACTACATTAAATCTAAATTACCTGGTAGTAGACCCATCACCAACACTACATTAAATCTAAATTACCTGGTAGTAGACCCATCACCAACACTACATTAAATCTAAATTACCTGGTAGTAGACCCATCACCAACACTACATTAAATCTAAATTACCTGGTAGTGGACCCATCACCAACACTACATTAAATCTAAATCACTTGGCAGTAGACCCATCACCAGCACTACATTAAATCTAAATTACCTGGTAGTAGACCCATCACCAACACTACATTAATCCTAACTTACCTGGCATCTAATGCTTGGTCAATATTCAGAGGTGTGATGACACTATCCTTGGTAGTATCCTGTAACAATATATTACAATGAGAGTGATAACTGTAATCCAATATCACTGAAAGTAAACATGTCATACATTTAAACAATATACAAGTACTATGTTTGTACTAATAACTTCTCTACAACAATATGTGGTTAGCAACTTAAAAGGAGAATACAGTCATATTATTACCACTTAAGTTATGTAATCAAAATTGTTCACATTTTGGACATCAGAACTAACATCTTACGAGCTGGTTGTCCTGGCTTAACTGTACTTTTAAACACTAACATCTTGTAAGCTGGTTGTCCTGGCTTAAGTGTACTTTTAAACACTAACATCTTAAAAGTTGGTTGTCCTGGCTTAACTGTACTTTTAAAACTACATGTATCAATTCATCTGCTTTCCATAATCGATACACCATCAGATTAATTAAAACAATTGCATCTAGCAACTATGAGTAGTAAATTCACAAGAATCACTCAAGATATACACCTAATATGTTTATACTCCGATATACACCTAATATGTTTATACTCCGATATACACCTAATATGTTTATACTCCGATATAACCTAATATGTTTATACTCCGATATAAACCTAATATGTTTATACTCCGATATAAACCTAATATGTTTATACTCCGATATAAACCTAATATGTTTATACTCCGATATAAACCTAATATGTTTATACTCCGATATAAACCTAATATGTTTATACTCCGATATAAACCTAATATGTTTATACTCCGATATACAGCTACCATACAGTCCTAAATTTTACAAGTGAGTGATAACAATACATAACTTCAACAACACTGATGTTCTATACAGTTCTAAACTTTACAAGTTAGTGATAACAATACATAATTTCAACAACACTGATGTACTATACAGCTACCATACAGTTCTACACTTTACAAGTTAGTGATAACAATACATAGCTTCAACACTGATGTTCTATACAGCTACCATACAGTCCTAAACTTTACAAGTTAGTGATAACAATACATAACTTCAACAACACTGATGTTCTATAGAGCTACCATACAGTTCTAAAAAAAAAAAAAATCAATTTGTCGTATTTCCGTCAGTTAACTCTCAAATAGAGAAGGTTTACTGAGTAAACATTCATTACAACGACGAACGGGAAATAAAACTATAAATTCATCTTTACTGTGGTTTTTGTTGTGAGAGCCCGAAGGATTCCTTCCACAGATAACTGCAAGAGATGAGAAGCCCACCGGATCTCTGCATCACTCCCGATCTCCACTCCTTCTTGACCATGCTTCATCTGTAAAATAACACGGTTAACTCCTTACTAAACACCAACAACACTACGTCCTCAGGTAACTACTGGAATAAGCAATAACACCATGTAGATGGAAAATTTAAAAACACGTGCTCGCGCGCGCGAGAGAGATGGGGAGAGTGCGCACGTGTATGTAATTGGACGGGTATTTTCAACTTTACTTAAGGTAGATATTACACACAAAAAATGTATGCAATTTAATTGCACGAGTGTTTTAAACT